CCTCTTGGGACAACTAGTAAGCCAGGCTGCTGGGATCGTGAGGCTTCACGATCTTCACTGGAGGCTTTCCCTGCAGCAGAGGATGTGGGGAGGGGGGTCTTGCAATGGTAATTAAATGTCCTGGCCCAGAAGTGACACATGTCACTTCCACTCACAGCCCACTTGCCAAAATCCCATGGCTTCATCTATCTGCAAAAGCTCTTTGCTCTCCCCTTCTGCTGGGAGTAAAGAATCAGCATGGGTAAGCACTGGACAGCTCTGCCATTAGAATTGTTTGGCAAACTTAGGGAAAATATAGAGGCCACGCCAGAAAGTCTGATTCAGTTGCCCTGAAATGGGGCCTGGGGACCTAAATTTTGGCAAATGTCCCAAATAACTGATCCAGTTGATACACAGGTGGGCATTGGGAAGTACTGCTTTAGAAAACCTAATGCCCTCTCGGGGTGACTATTGGCTGTCTCTGTGATAGGACTGACACTCGTCAGGAATGTGCAAAACAAGTCAATATATGTAATTCAGTGCTAAAATATGCAGCGTATGTAGTAAGTGCTGTGGGAAGTCAACAAACATGTCCCCTCCTTCTGATATGCTTGCCTCTTATTTGGGTGGCTCTGCCAGACAACTCATTATGATAAGGAACTCTTGCTTAGCATGCATTTGCGTGTGTGTGTGTGTGTGTGCGCGCTCGCACACGCACACGCCTGCGCATGCTGGGAGCTCAGAGTACAGCAGTGCGGAGAGTCAGATGTCCATGTTTCCCTGCAGACCCCGTTGGAATGACAGGGTCCTCCCTATGAATAACCTCATTCTAGCTTTTTACCCATCAGGCTGAGTCTAGAGAGGACACCAGTGATTCTGAATCTAATCCTTCCTCTGTCGTTACCTTACTGGGTGGCCCGGCGTCAGCTATAAAGCCAGGTAACTCTGCCTACTCTGGGGCTAATTAGCCAGCCTGGGGATGACTCAGTTCTTCCTCTGCTTCTTCCTCCTTCTTCTCCTGAACAGCCTGTTCAATTAGGACTTGTATTCAGCTACTAGTTAACAGAAGCCTGGAAAACACTGGCTCAAATGTATTGTTTGGCTTATGCAAAAGAAAGTCAGAAGTTGGCAATCTTCAGGTACCCAGATTCCTTTGGCTTTCCACTTGACCATCCATTCGTAGGGTATGACCCTCTTCCCCCTTCTCTCAAGATGGCTGCTGAAGCTCATCATCATATCTTCATTTCAGGCATGAATAAGGGGAAGAGCAAAAAACTACAAGGGTCTCTGCCAGTTGAGTCCAGAGAAGTACCACCGAATGACACATGCGTACATCTCATTGGCTAGAAGTGTGTCGCATGACCATCCAAGCCTCAAGTGAGGCTAGGAAACAAGAGCTTCCATCACAAAGCCCCAGTGTCAGGCATCCAGACTTTTTATCCCATTCCCTTGCACAGGGAAATGGAGGCTTCTGCCTCACGGAGCAGAAGAGGGCCAACTCTTGCTCCCGGCCAGACACCCACAGGCTCAGTGGATACACAGAGGCAGAGGGCTGAGTGTGCACAAACCTGACTGTGCGCAAGTCCTCAGTCCTGACGTCTGAGAGTGGACTCGTCAAGCTGGAGGTTGAGCAGTGATTCTCTTCCCTCCAACTCAAGCTGCAGGCACTATGCTCCCTCTCAGGGCAACAATGCCCCCGTGGAGGAGAACTTACCCAAACAACACACTTTTGGGGTGGTAGCTATGTTTTCAGAGGGAGAAGGCACACAGAGAAGGCACAAAGAGAAATTTGGCCCCTCAGTTGTCCCTCTTTTCTAAATAAAATGTGAGCTTGTTTTTATTATGAAAGTAAATAAAAGATACACTCCCCTGTATGAAAGAGGGTGAGTAAACTTCTCATTTTTTCTGGCTCCTGCCCATGGCCTCAGTCCCATGGCCCAGAAGTTACACCTTTATGGTTTCCGTGGCCAGTTTCCAAATGTTTTCTTTGCTTATACGTATATATGCGTATCGTTTAAAAAACACAGAAATGGATCACACTTTACGTGTGTGACCTGCAATTTGCTTTTTCCATGTAGTTTCTTGGTGATGGTGCCATGTTGCCACCTATCGAACCCCCCTCATTCTGTAGTGTGGCTATGGGGTAGGAAGGTGCCAGAATTTATTTACCCAGTCACCAGGTGAGAACATTTTGGTCTTTCCAGGCTTTTGCTGCCCCAAATCACTGTTGTAATACTCCAACCCTTTTGTCAGGATTCCTGTCTTGTGAGTCCCATTGTCCGGGTGCTGAATCTGGCAGGTCGGGGAGAAAGAGCTTTGCTGCCTCTGGGAGGACTAGCCCTGGGGTCCTGGCTCCTCTGAGGGGAGCCTCAGCCCATGGTTTTCCCCTTTCTCCTAGGAACCTCCTACCTACTGACTCCACTCCAAGGGCAGGGCAGGGTTGACACATGTGGGTGGCTGGGCAGGCTAGTAATCTGGTGCTCTGGGAAAATAAATAATATTGGGGCCCCTTCAACTGATATTTGGAAAAATACTTGTTCAGCTCTTATTTGGAGGAAAGGCTGAGTGCTGAGAAGGAGGTGGCCTGGTGGTGGCAGTCCCCACTGTCCTCTTGGTCACAAGGAGAAGGAACCCACTCTGTAGCTCCCTGGAGCAACCCTTCTTGGAAGGGATTTTAAGTGACTACTTACACACATTCCCTGGGGTCTCCTCCTTCCACCTCCCAAACCCCATCTGAAGCAGATGATTCTTTCCAACCGTATATAATGCTCACCCCCAGAGAAGTTCTGAAAGTTGCCATTTTCTCCACTCCCAATGTCATTTCCGGTTAATTTTATCCCCCCAGCAATGCCATCCAGCTCCCTGGTGATGTTGCAATGCCCTTTAGAGCTGAGATCTAGCGGCTCCACCCCTTAATTTGGCTCAGCTGAGGACCCCTGGAAGTTCCCCTGCCTCCAAGGCCAAGGCCAGTGTCTTTAAAAGGGGCTTTATTGCTACAGGTTTGACCATGGCCTGTGACCATATTAGGTGGTCTGGAGTAGGCTGGATGCCCCAGCTGGTTAGAACCAGGAAGTAATGACGTTGTGAAGAAATCACTTTTCAGTTTGATTTTAAAGCCATGCTCTGTTCTGTTTAAATGCTTTTCTTTTAAATTTTGTCATCCTCTAAGCTTCTGTTTATAAATTACAAAAAGGGAAGGGGGCTGCAAACCCTGTTTGTCAGCAGGTCCCTGGGAGCAAGAGAACAGTCTTTGGAAGGCAGGTCCAGCAAACCAAATCTCATAAGGTCACGGGTTGGATTTCAGAGATGATCACTGGATGTTTTCTGGTGTCCACAAGGCATCATCAGATATGATGCCTTATGTATTTTGGTTACCAAGGGGGCCTGACAGATGAGCATGAGGAGCTCATCCCCTAACTATTGTCGCTACGACAGAACAAGCCGGTGTATGTTCTGCCAGTAGTGATAGTATTATATTACCTAGGTGTAGAGAAGGCCACACCCAAAGACCCCAAAGTATCGCATTAGCTGGCTGCCTGTGCAGAGCAAAGAGAGCAACTATGTACCAAGTATACCTCCAACCCCACATCCACAGGAGACGTCGCAAGTGGTTCCTTCTTCCCCCTGACTGAATGCAAACTTGACTTTATTTTTGTCTAAGCAGTAACTACCAACCAGCCCGATCTGGTGCACAAGTTAAAACCTATTTGCCATCCCGGGCCTAGAGAATATTCAAAGTCGAGTATGGCAACATACACTTTTCTGCAAATACAGTCTGCAAAATTATCCCAGCTTTAACTTGCCAATCTGGGGGCAAATCCAAGGCTTTTCTTTTTCTTTATTCCAAAGCCACTAAGCACCAACACTTCCAGGCAATTACTCAGCACTACAATAAAAAATATATTTGAAGCATTTTTGTCTTCAATTAGCTCACAAACCAGAGATGTACATATCTTACTGTGACACGTCTTGCAAGTGTGTTATTCGTGCTTGAACTGTGTGTGTGCAGAAGGGGAAAGGAGAAAGAGTTTGAACTGACCTGGAAGGGTGCTTGGCAGGTAGAGAATGAGGAATAACACCCAGATGCAGGAAAAGAATGCGTGCAAGTGTTGGAATGCTGGAAGGACATGGTGCGTTCTGGGAAGACTGAGCATGAGGTCTGGTGGAAGGGTGAGGCCGTGGGAGGTAGGCAAAGAGGAAATGAGGAAATTAGCCTGGAGAGATGCACCAAAGCTGGGCTAGATGCACCAAAGATCACTCCTGCTTTGACTTGAGCCACTGGATCCCTGTCCCCTGCTTGACCCAGTCAGCCTCCACTCCATCTGCCTGCACTTCTGTCTTCTGCTCCATGGTGGGCTGCATGCCTGGCCACCTGACACGCTCCTCTCTGGCTCCATCATCCTGAAGAGTCTGCAGGGTGGGCAAAGTTGCCATTCATACTAGAGACTGCTGGGGAGGCTTGTAGTAGGAACTGCTTAGGAGCATGTATCTGAGTCACTGGTATACAAACGTTGCATAATCTCATTGAGGAAATGAGGATGAAGCCCTGAATATATCTTGTCTTTGGCTTTTTGATCTATAGTGCTTTCCCCAAACTTAATGAAGCAAACATAAATCCATTAGTCAATATAGAGGCTCTCAGACCTGGGGTGACTCCATCAACTCCACTGGCGCTTAATCATATACTGATGAATGTCATTACTTAATTTTCCCATTAAGTCATAAATTCTTTTGTATCCCTGTATAGCACATAGCAAAGTGCTGGGAACATGGTGAACACATACTAACTGTTTATTAAATGAAAAAGTGAAGGGGAACGTGTTGAAATGAAAAGGGGGAAATGGACAGCAAGACTTTAGAGTATTCTGTTTGGTTGTAGTTTGGTTGTGGATACAATTTGTGTTTCTTGTCTTGTCACTTAACTCTCTTAGCCTTAGTTTCCTTATCAGTAAATTGAAGATAATCTTACCAGCTCTACAGAGGTTACAGGGTTTTGTCCAACACCAAATAAGAAATCATACATGCAAATACTTTATGAACTGTTAAGGTAAGCTATTAGGATTTTCTCTTAATGTCATATAATTATAAAATATTTTCCTTCTTACTTTTAGACTTGCAACCTTATTTCTCAAAAGAGGGCCCAACAGGATAGGTGGTCTTTACAAAAAGGCTGTTTACAGACATTACACAGATGGGACCTATTCCACAGAGATCCCCAAACCTCCCTGGCTTGGATTCCTGGGCCCTATTTTGAGGGCTGAAGTGGGTGATGTGATTGTCATCCATTTGAAGAACTTTGCTTCCCGACCATACTCTTTGCATCCACATGGCGTTTTCTACAACAAAGATTCAGAAGGTAAATATCAATCCTGTATTACTGGTGTCTTGTCTCTATTTTGTAAGTAAGGCAATTGTCAGCTACAGTTAAAGGGATCAAAGAGACAGTGATTACACATGTTCATTTGTCTTTTTCCCCATCTCCTTTTCTCCCTATCTCCATCTGTTCCTCCTAATAGAGAAAACTTCAACAACACTATCAACCAATTTGCCCTAATTGACTTCTAGAGAACATTCTGTCCAAAGAATACACCTTCTTTTCGAGAGCATATGGAACACTCGTCAGGATAGATAGTAGGCTGTGCATAAAATAAATCTAAATAAATTTAAAAGAACGGATAGGATGCAAAGCATATTCTCCAATCACACTGGAATTCAATTTGATATAATCAATGAAAGAAATCTTGCAAATTCTTGCAAACATTTGGAAATAAACAGTACACTTCTAAATAACTCATAGGTCAAAGAAGAAATCACAGGATAAATTGTAAAATATTTTGAATTGAATAAAAATGGAGATAAAACATATCAAAATTTATGGTATATTGCTAAACAAGTACTTGAAAGGAAATTTAGAGCTTTAGACACGCCAAGAGAGAAGAAAAGTCTCAAACCAATAACATAAGCTTCCACCTTAAGAAACTAGAAAACAGGGGCGGCTGGGTAGCTCAATTGGTTAAGCGGGCTGCCTTCGGCTCAGGTCATGATCCCAGGGTCCTGGTATTAAGCCCCACATCGGGCTCCCTGCTCAGAGAGGAGCCTGCTTCTCCCTCTCCCTCTGCCCGCCGCTCTGCCTGTTTGCGCTCTCTCTCTCTCTGTGTCTCTGTCAAATAAATAAATAAAATCTTTAAAAAAAAAAGAAATTAGAAAACAAAGAGGAAAAAAAGCTAAAGCAAGCAGAAAGAAGGAAATAATAAGGACTAGAGCAGAAATTCGAAGAAGGAGAAAACAGAAAAATAATATAAAATTGATTAAGCCAGAAGTTGGGTCTTTGAAAAAGATTAATAAAATTGAGAAAACTTTATCTAGTGTGATGAAGAGAGAGGGCACAAATTACCAAAGTCAGGAATGAAAGATGGGACATCACTCTGACCATACAAAAATTAAAAGGATAATAAGGGAGGATTATAAACAATTTTATGCCAAAATATTAGATAACTTAAATGAAACTGACAAATTCCTAGAAAGACAAAAATTACCCAAACTGACTTAAGAATAAATAAAAATTTGAACAGACCTATAAAATGTAAAGAAATGGAATTAGCAATTAAAAATCTTCCCTCAAAGAAAAACCCAAGCTCAGACGGTTTCATTTATAAACTCTATCAACTACTAAAATAATAATAATAATAATAATGCCAATCCTTTACAAAATCTTTCAGGAAATAAAGAGAGGAATACTTCTAAATTCATCCTATGAGGCAAATATCATGAGCCAGTTAAAGACATCACAAGAGAACTACAGACCAATATTCCTCATGAATGTAGACACAAAAATTCTTAACAAAATATTAACAAACTGACTTCAGCAACATATAAGGAGAACTATATATCATGACCAAATGCAGTTTATCCTATGATTGGAAGGTTTGTTTAACACTCAAAAATAAATGAATGTTGGGGTGCCTGGGTGGCTCAGTCAGTTAAGCGTCCGACTCCTGATTTTGGCTCAGGTCATGATCTCAGGGTTGTGAGATTGAGCCCTGGGTCAGGCTCTGTGCTGAGGGTGGAGCCTACTTAAGATTCTCTCACCCTCTCCCTTTGCCCCTCTCCCCTCCCCCACTCATGCGCTCACACTCTCTCTCTCTCTAAAAAAAAATAATTAAAAAAAATGAATGTACAACATATTAATAGAATAAGGGACAGAAACCACATGATCATCTCAAAAAGTGCAGAAAGGCATTTAACAAAATCTAGTACTTATCAAATTAAACATTTCCAACAAACTAGGAATAGACAGGCACCTCCTCATCCCAACAAAGTTTATCTAAGAAAAACCCACAGCTGACATCATGCTTAATGGGAGGGGGACTGAATGCTTTCTTCATAAGATTGGGAATAAGGCAAGAATGTCTGCTCTCACTGCTATTATTAAATATTATCCTGAAGATTCTAGCCAATGCTAGACAGGTCTGCTAACAATAAACTTGGTCTTTGTTTATCTAGAACATCTTTACTTTACCTTGCTTTTTTGAGGGATAGTTTGCTGGATATGGTATTCTCCTTTTGCACTCCCCCCCACCCCCTGCAATACTTTAAGTATGTCATCCTATTGTCTTCTCATCTCCAATATTCAGATGGGAAGTCAACTGTTAATCATGTCAATGTTCTTGTGTATGTGATGAGTCATTTTTCTCCTGCTTCCAGTATTACCTCTTTGCCCTTTTTTCCCTAACAATTTGACGACAATGTGTCTATGTATAGATTCTTTGTATTTATCCTACTTGTGGTTCATTATGCTTCTTTGATGTGTAGATTAATGTTTTTCATCAAATTTGGAAAACTTCTACAAAAAATTTCTACAAACATTTTTTTTCCTGTCCCTTTTTCTTTTTTTTATCCTTTGGCAGGCTACTATTACACATGTTAATACACTTGATGTTGACCCACAGGCCTCTGAGGTTCTGTTTATTTTCTTTGATCTTTCTCCCCGTCTTCCTTTTTCAGATAGGATAGTTCTATTGATCTATATTCAAGGTCACTGATTATTTGCCATCTTGAATCTGTTGTCAAGACCTTCTAGTGAATGTTTTATATCATTTATATCATTTATTTATTTATTTCACTTTTCAATGCCAAAACTCCAACTTTATTCTTTTTATAATTATAAAATTCTACCTCCTTGTTGAGATTTTTCCATTTACTGAATCATTTTGTCCTACTTTTTTAAATTATTTAAACATGGTTTCTTTTAATTGCTTGAACATTTTTATAATAACTGCTTTAAAGTTTTATCTGCTAAATTTCACATCTAGAGACACTTAGAGATAATTTCTATTGGCTGCTTTTTTTCTCTGAGAATAGGTCACACTTTCTTGTTTCTCTGTATGTCTCATTTTGTTGTTGTCCTTGTTGAAAACTGGAAATTTTTTAGCATATATTGAAGCAACTCTGGATTCAAATCTTTCCCTCATCCAAGGTTATTTTTGCTGTTGGTTTGCTTTTTTGTTTAGTATCTTGCCTGGGCTAAATCCATGAAATCTGTCTTCCCTAGAGTATGAGGCCACCAAGGTTTCTGCTCTTTTTTTTTTTTTCTTATGTTTATTTTTAAGGCTGGCTTCTAAGGGGTCACCTCTAAATCTGCTTAGCTTTGAAGTCAGCAGATGCTTGGACAGAGGTTGTGCTTAAGCATCAGTAAGTCCTCAATTCTCTGCAGTTGGAATTGTGGGTGGATAGAGAGCCCATTCAAAGTTTAGGTGGTTTTTGTCTACCTTGGATTTTCATTTTTGCTGGGCCCTTTGCTTCTCCTCTTTGCAAGCACACAGCATTTGAGTCAGCCAGGAGTAGGCAAATAACTGATGTTCAGCAATTTTTCAAGCATAAACTTTGCTGGATGCCTTTATTTGATTTCCAGAGCAATGAAATTGTTGGTTTTCTCAATTTCATTCATTTTTACATTACTTTCGGGGGAGAGGATTTGCTGACCTCCTCACTCTCTTTTGATGAATTTTTCTCTTTGCTACCTTTGCAAGCTTGCTACTCTGAAAGTCCCTGCTCAGTTCAACTTAGTGTTTACTGTGCACTAGACCCAATGCTGGATACTGGGGCTGCAAAAATGAGTAAATACATAGTTGTTGCTTCCAAGGTGTTCATCTGGGGAGTGGTAGAGAATGAACACAGAAGAAGTCGGTAGGTGGGATTAACATTGATTAAGCAGTTCCTAATGTGCCAATGCCTGTGTGAGAGCTCTTACATACCATATCTCAGTTAATAATGGAATTAGCGAGTGCTTTCTTGATCTCCATATGAAATATAGTTAAGTATTAGGACTATTTAAAAATAAATTTTACTGTTTTTTTTTTTAATTCAGAGAAGCATAAAGAAGGGGTAAATGTCTCACATTCTGATTCCCTACTTATCCACTAAAATGAGCTCAAAACCAAAGATTAAACAAAAACTAGTATATGAACTTGGTTAGAAAATTTTAGGGGCGCCTGGGTGGCTCAGTCAGTTAAGTATCTGCCTTTGGCTCCAGTCATGATCCCAGGGTCCTGGGACTGAGGCCTGTATCAGGCTCCCTGCTCAGCGGGGAGCTTTCTTCTCCCTCTCCCTCTCCCTGCCGCTCCCCTGTTTGTGTTATCTCTCTCTGTCCGTCAAATAAATAAAATCTTTTTTTTAAAAAAAGAAAATTTGGGGCACCTGGTGGCTCAGTCAGTTAATCAGCTGCCTTTAGCTCAGGTCATGATCCCAGAGTCCTGGGATCGAGTCCCGCATCAGGCTCCCTGCTCATCGGGGAGCCTGCTTCTCCCTCTGCCTGCTGCTCCCCCCGCTTGTACTCTCTCTCTCTCTGTCAAATAAATAAATAAAATTTTTTTTTTAAAAAAAGAAAATTTTAAGAGTACAGAGAGGTATAATAAGAGAAGCAAAAATTCTTCTTATCTCTTACCTGAAAAACAATCACCTTTAAAAATGATGTACTATATGGTGACAAACATAACATAATAAAATAAAGATGTCTTATAAATTTCTCTTAGAAAATTTTCCATACATATATTTGTGTGTGTGTGGTTATGCGTATGTATATATTTGTTCATTTGTACAAAAGAGATTATACTGTAATGCTGTTACATATTATCTGTTTTCCATTTTTGCTTCATCTTGGAGATTTTCTCATATTAGGTCTCATAAAAGACCTCCTTTTAACAGTTGTGCAATATCCCTTTGTATGAATGTACCAGTCTAGTACATTGATGATTATTGATGATTAATGATGATTATTTAGGTTGTTTTCGTTTGGGGGTTGATACTGGCAATTCTACAACAAACATTCCAGTTCACGTATTTTGAAAAACATTTTTAAGGATGTTTCTAGGGGAAATTTTTAAAAGTAAAATTGCTGGTTACGTTCATATTCTTTCTTTCTTTTCTTTTCTTTCTTTTCTTTTCTTTCTTTCTTTTCTTTCTTTCTTTCTTTCTCTCTCTCTCTCTTTCAATAGGAATTGGCAAATTGTCCTCAAAAAAATTGCACATTTACTCTTCCACCATTTGTTTATGAGCTGGCCTGTTTCTCCTATAACTTCACCAATCCTCAATATTCTCAAACCTGATGGGGTGAAAACTTGTATATTTTAATTTCTAAAGCCCACACATTTTATTTATTTATTTATTTATTTTTATTTTTTTTAAAGATGTTATTTATTTATTTGACAGAGACACAGACAGAGAGCACAAGCCGGGGAGCGGTAGGCAGAGGGAGAGGGAGAAGCAAGCTCCCTGCTGAGCAGGGAGCCCAACGCGGGGCTCAATCCCAGAACCCCGGGATCATGACCTGAGCCGAAGGCAGACGCTTAACCATCTGAGCCATCCAGGCGCCCCAAAGCCCACACATTTTAGAATACATAAAACCAAATGATTGTTTTTAAAATATTCTTATATTGTTAATGTTACCATTGCTCAAAACCTTTGACAAATCAAAATTCCTTTCTGGGAATAATTTTCAGAACAACTTAATAAGCTACCCCACCCTAAATCACCTTTTACTTTATATTCACAGTATATTTTGGATCCTAAATGATCTTCCTCATCTTGAGAGGTGAAACCAAGGTTTTGTTTGGGGACTCAGGCCCTTCCTTTTAATAATAGTGATCAACATTTCCTAATTATAACAAGCAAAAAGAAAACACATAAGTAAAGTGTAAATAAAAGAGTCTCTAGAAAAACTAATATTTGTATTGATTTGTATCATATAATCAAAGCAAAATGAGTGATCTCAGTTGAAGCCTCTAGACAAGTCCACTACCCACCCTCCCTCCCCCAGCTACAGAGCCTCAGTCTCTCTGTATATAAATTCAGAAGCTTTCAAGCCATGCATTTTATTCACAGGGCTTTGGTGTATGGTGTACAGTCATGCCACTCATTCATTATTTTATTCAACAGATACGTACTGAGCACCCACTCTACTAAGCACTGAGGTAGACCTTGCTTATAAAATTATGAGCAAAAAAACCCTGTTTTTTGTAGAAATTATAGTCTAACGTGAGAGACAGACATTAATTGAACAATTATATACACAATATTATACATATATAATTAAAACCTTGGGCAAGTACTATGAATGAATAATAACTGATGTTTACTGAAAGCTTACTATATGCCAGATGCTGTGATAAATGTATTGTAGATCTTATGTCATGTAAGCCTCAACAACTCTATGAGATAGGTATGATAACTATCATCCTCTTCCAGATAAGAATCTAAGGCTCCTAGAAGAGAAGAAAATTGCCCAAGTTGCAGCTAACAAGTGATGGAGATAGTATTTGATTCCAGGCAGTCTAACTTCAGTGGCCCTGAACTTCACCATTGGCTCTACTGCCCTTCTCTCTGTGTGAATGCATTTTAGAAAACTGACCTAGTCCAGGGAGTTCAGGATTGCAGGTTTGTTGAATGGATGGTGAACAAGTGAAAGAATGGAGAATGAACTTGGGGTGTGTCCACATCCATCTCCTCGGCCTCTCACCCTCCAGCCTTCTTCCTAAGGCCATCCAGCTCGTCCTGGTCCTTCCAGACCTCTACCTTCTATCCAGGTAGTTATCAAACTAGTTTTATCAGTGGACTTTCCTTAATTGAAAAATCTTGTGAAATCTTAGTTCACACCCCCTCTGTGGTAGACCCCCCACCTAGCAAAACACCAAATTATGTAACACATCACCCTATTTTACTCCCCAGTTGTCCCATGTGCTAATAATTCCGATTCTGGTTGGCTCAACAGAACTGTAGGATCTCTGGAGGAAAGATGAATGTCTTACTCTTCCTTCCTATCTTTCGTGAGATTTCAAACAGGTGTTGAATCTGTAATAAGTGCCTAAGAATTTCATTATTTCTTCTATTTCTTTCCTTCCTTTTTTTAAGATTTTATTTTATTTATTATTAGAGAGAGAGGGAGAGAGAGAGCATGAGTGGAGGGAAGGGGCAGGGAGGGAAAGAGAGAGGCAGACTCCCCACTGAGCAGGGAGCCTAGCGCAGGACTTGACCCCAAGACCCCAAGATCATGATCTGAGCCAAAGTCAGATGTTTAACCAATTGAGCCACCCAGGCACCCCTCTCCTTTCCTTCTTGAATTGATGTTAAGTGAGGTGGATTCAAATCTTCCTGATTGGAACAAGGGGCCCATCAGAAGGGGTCCTTATGAACATTTATTAAGCATCTGGCTTTGTGCAGGATGCTTTATGTACATTGTGTCAGCTAGTTCTCACATCACTCTGGGGTGGGTATCAACATTCTAGCTTCACTGATAGAAAACCAAGGCATTGAGAATTTAAATAACATGCCTCAATCCCACAGGAAATAAATTTTAATTCATAGGTGTTTGATTCCAAAGCTCTGGCCCTGTCCACTATAGCATGCGATCTTTGTATATTAACTATATTTAATCTTTTCTTGAAGGAGCCCTATACCCAGATGGAACATCTGGAAGGAATAAGAATGATGATATGGTTCCTCCTGGCAATAACTACACCTATATCTGGCCAGTGAGAGAAGAATATGCCCCTGCTCCAGCGGACGCCAACTGTCTGACCTGGGTGTACCATTCGCACATTGACGCGCCTAAGGACATCTGCTCTGGGTTAATCGGCCCCCTGCTGGTATGCAAGGAAGGTAAGGAGCTCTTCCACCCCCCACCAACACACACACACAAGCCTATTCCCAGATGTATTAAAAAGTATGTATAAATTTTGGGCTTTGTTTTGCCTGCCTCCCTTGCTCCATACAAAGGTGCCTTTTCTTCCAAGCTTTCCATAAGATTAGGGAGATTCCTCTAACATAGAAGGCCAGTCTGACACCACAGCAGGGGTAATAATTCAGACTTCTGTCAAGGAACCATCATTAGCATTCTGAAATTTATATACTTTAAAAAAGAAAACAAACCAGGGACATACCATATTGATAGCCATTCATGCCAGCCCATACCACACATAGAGAAGTGAAGAATGTAGCCAAATGGCCAGGCTTGCTTTTGCTTTGATATTTCACCTGCATGATCACTTTTTGTCCCCCATTAATTGCGTTAGTGTGTCTGTGCTCTGTCAGTAACACTGGCTCCCTTTGGGAGCAGTTGCTGTGAAGGCTTCTGTTTCATGACTTTTCTCTTCTACGACTCTGTCATTTCCATTAAAATCCTTTGCTGCTTTCATGTTGTGGTTATTCCTGTTCTTATAAGTCTTTGACTGACTTCAAACTTACCTGATACCATTGGCAAGAGGCAAAACTCATCTTGATTTAATTCACTTTGAACGATTTTCCTCCACTCTTTTGGATGTCCCCCCTGATAGGTGTCCTGAATAAATATTCCGGGACAAGGACAGATGTGGACCGAGAATTCGTTATAATGTTTACTCTGGTGGATGAGAATCAAAGCTGGTACCTTGATGAAAATATCAGACATTTCTGCACTGACCCTGATTCAGTTGACAAAAAAGATGCTGTTTTCCAGAGAAGTAACAAAATGCATGGTGAGTGTCTCCCGTGTTATCAAATATATACCAAATGCTTTTTGTGGATCTGATACTATGAGGCCAGGGATGAAAAAACACAGAAATGTCTAACCCGGTTTTCTAGGATTGATAACTCAGTGATAAGAATGGTTAGGAAGTGATATGAAACACAATCCATGTCAGAACATAAAACAATCTGAGAAGAGATGAGGCAATAGATATCAGCTGAATTGTGTATGACAAGCTATGGTATGGAAAGTGGAAGGATTAATGTTATAATCAGGAAAGAATCAAGAGGTGATCCTAGAGAAGGATGGGTTTATATTGACAGGAGAAAGGAGAATGAATTGCCATCATATAACAATTCTGTGGTTTGCAACATTTTGCATTATTCCAGTAACCATTTCCTGAGTGACGGCTAAATTTTAAAAACTATGCTGTATGCTATGTTTAAATACACACTTGTGAATTTGTTATATTTCCCAGGCATTCCTTTTTTGAAAATAATAATTTTTTTTTTTTGAGAGAGAGAATCTTAAGCAGACTCCACGCCCAGCATGGAGCCTGACACAGGGCTCAATGTCACAACCCTGAGACCATGAACTGAGCTAAAATCAAGAGTTGGATGCTTAACCGACTGATCCACCCAGGCACCCCTCCCAGACAATCTTTCAATCAACATTTATTGAGCATTCACTATGTGCCAGACCCGTATTTGAAAATAGTGAACTTCTATAGTTATCTTCTCCATTGAGACAGACCACTTACCCACATCTGTTTTGCAGAGTAGTGGCTTAATACAGAATTTTAAGACTTGGGGATTATTAAGTAGACTCATTCTTCTGTTTTCCTAGAGAGTTCTAGTGAACACAAAGAACATCTTCAATGTAAACAAACACCCCATGTCATTCATTGATAAATTTCCTTCATATTTGCTTATCTGTCTCCTAGAATCATCCTAACCAAGGCAGCATCAATGTAGTTAAAAAATCATAGGAGAGAGAGAAGGGGCTGAAGATCATCTGACCTCCCCTATTTTACAGAAGAAACTGAAGTCAAGAGACCATCAATGACTTGCCTAAGGTCAAAGTGATAATTAGGGCCAGAGTTGCCTGAGAGAAGCTAAGAGAGGAGCCCCATAGCAAATAAATGTTAGTTTGGTTGTGTTTGATTCCAAAGTGTGTCGAGGTGTGAGTGTCAGTATACTGACGATTTCCACTGCATCACACACCCTCTCTGTTCTTTCTAGTGGTATTTCAGTAACCTTGTGTGAGGGGGGTGTTTGGAAAATATTTTAGGAGGGAAGAAGTAAAGGAGGGAAGGGAGGGAGGCAGGGGAAGCAGGGAAAGAAGTGAAGGACAGGATAAACAAAGACCTAAATTCAAAACATTGCTGTGTCCAGTCAACTTTTATCCCTATGCTTTACAGAATGGTGGCAATGCTCTCAAATCTTGCTGAAAACTACTGTGATGGTTTACGACTCAGCTGCCCACAGAATTCCTTTCACTCTTTCAAATGAAAATGTCCAACAAAAAGGAATCAATTACATAAGCAAATATAGACTGTATTTAAAATAAAAATCAGCCTGGGGGCACCTGGTTGGCTCAGTCGGTAGAGCATGCGAATCTTGATCTCACCCACACTGGGTGTAGAGATGACTTAAAAATAAACTCTTTTGATGGCTGCATAATATTGGTATTCTTAATCTCAGGAAACAAACTGAGGGTTGCTGGAGTGGGGGGTGATGTGAGGGATGGGGTGGCTGGGTGATAGACATTGGGGAGGGTATGTGCTATGGTGAGTGCTGTGAATTGTGCAAGAGTGTTTAATCACAGATCTGTACCTCTGAAACAAATAATGCAATATATGTTAAGAAAAAAAAAAGAAGATAACAGGAGGGGAAGAATGAAGAGGGGGAAATCAGAGGGGGAGACGAACCATGAGAGACGATGGACTCTGAAGAACAAATTGAGGGTTTTAGAGGGGAGGGGGGTGAGAGGATGGGTTAGCCTGGTGATGGGTATTAAAGAGGGCACCTTCTGCATGGAGCACTGGGTGTTATGCACAAACAATGAATCATGGAACACTACATCAAAAACTAATGATGTAGTGTATGGTGATTAACATAACAATAAAAAATTTTAAAAAATGAAAAAATAAATAAATAAACTCTTAAAAAAATAAAAAATAAAAAAATAGGGGCACCTGGGTGGCTCAGTCGAGAAACAACCAACTCTTGGTTTCAGCTCAGGTCATGATCTTATGGTTGTGGGATTGAGCTACTCGTTGGGCTCCACACTCATCTTGGAGTCTGCTGGATATTCTCTCTTTCTCACTCTCTCTAAAATAAGTAAATAAATAAATAAAATCTTTTAAAAATAAATAAAATCTTTAAAAATAAGTAAATAAAAATAAAAATCAGCCTGTATGCAGAAGTACGTGTTTGCAAACAGTCGGTCTTCTTCGAACTAGTAAAGGAGACCTAACCAAGAATAGAAAAACATCAACCTATGGGGCACCTGGGTGGCTCAGTCGGTTAAGTGGCTGCCTTTGGCTCAGGTCATGATCCCGGGGTCCTGGGATTGAGCCCTGCATTGGGTTCCTTGCTCCGTGGAGAGCCTGCTGCTTCCTTTCCCTCTTTCTGTGTGCCGGTCCCCCTGCTTGTACTCTCTCTCTCACTATCTCTCTGTGTCAAATAAATAAATAAAATCTTAAAAAAAAAAAAAGGAAAACATCAACTTAAAAAAAAAAAAACAACAAAAACTAGTCCATAGAAGATGCTTGATCAATATAATATTTATTGATAAATTTATTTAAATATACTAAAATTGTTTAGAATCAGTTGTGCTGTCTTAATCATTATTATCTTAGTAACAATTGCTTTTTAATTCAGTTTGGATTTAAGAAGTGATGTTATGACTCTTTAAAACCATGAGTCAAGTTTTCTTCTGCACTTGGTCAAGTTCTGGCTGCCATTCAGATGATTCAAAAGACTAGGTCTCAGACTTCCAGTGTAAGCTCAATCAGTTAGATGCTGCCCCAGCAAGACCTAGTAACAACTGTTTTTTCTCTCTGCTTTTAAAATAACAGAACTTTAAAGTAACACGTCTCATAGGTCCCTTCTAATCAGCTCCTTTCATTTCCTTCTTGCTGCTCATTTTGGTTACTTAAATTAAGTAGCTCCTATGTGCCTGCTTTTCTGCTGGGTCCTGATAGCTGTGGAATGGCTGAGATGGGGTTTCTAATGTCAGGGACCAAGAGTCCTGTAGGGAAGTCAGGTATGAAAATGAAGGATCGCAGGGTGATGGGTATTGAGGACGGCACGTACTGTAATGAGCACTGGGTGTTACACTTAACTAACGAATCATTGAACACTACATCAAAAACTAATTATGTACTATACAGTGGCTAACTGAACATAATAAAAATAAATAAATAAAAAAAGAAAGAAAATGAAGGATCACGAGAGGAAGTGGCTGAGCCATCCTGAAGTCTGAGCAGTGCTCTGTTTACTCCTGACCTCATTATTGTGTTCACACAGCAGCTCCAAGTCTGTTTCCTGTGTGCTCATCTCCACTTTTATTGAGTGCTCTTCTTTTGAAAAACCTTTCGCTCTGTTCTGGGACTGTAGTTTATGAAAAGAGTCATGCTTTTCTGCACAAAAACATTACAAGCGATGATCAGCACTCAATTTTCAACTGTGCTGGAGTATGTGTTACCCCCTCTACAGGGGACTCTCTTACACCAGTGTGTTTCTGTTTTTCAGCCCTCAACGGATACCTCTTTGGAAACCTCCCTGAGCCTGAGATGTGTGTTGGTGAATCGGTGTCCTGGCACCTCTATGGGATGGGGAATGAGATAGACATCCATTCCATCTATTTTTATGGCAACACCTTCATCAGCAGAGGGCATCGGACTGATGTCATCAACCTGTTCCCAGCCACCTTCCTGACAACAGAAATGGTAGTCGAGAATCCTGGGAAGTGGATGATAACTTGCCAAGTTAGTGATCACCTACAAGGTAAAAAGGACAAGGGCCAGTGTAGCGTGTGGATGTTTCGAGGGGGATGATTATACCACACAGTCAATGATGCTCATTCAGTATCTGCTGTTAGATAGGTTCTTGTATTATATTTAATTAAATATTGAGTATAGAGGAAAATGCACAATGCTCATTTATTTGCCATCCTATCAACAGATACTTATTCATCAACTCCCTATGAAAAAGGTGGGAGGTGAATGAAAGAAATGGTAAGACCTTCAAGGAGCCTGCAGTCTAGTAGCTAGACTTTGTTAGACATTTGCAAATGAATAAAATCTGAGGCAGAAAGATAAATGCTCTTTGTTTGCTATGGTCACCTCTCTGGAACAAGGAGAGGGACTTCCTGAGGTGTTGGCCCCTAATCTGAGTCTTGAAATATGGGTAGGAATTGAACAGATGAAGAAGGGAAGAAAGGCTTTCCAGGCAGAGGAAGCACCATGAACCAGGAAAAAGACATGTTCTATACAAGCAGCTGTAAATAGAATAATAACATTTTAACATTGGAGAGAAATTTATGGATAATCTGGACCAACCCAACATCTATTTCTTCCATTTCTTCTGGATATCTCTTTTAAGTAACTGTAGCAGCCCATTTCATCTCTGGGCTTCTCTGTTAGAATGTTATTCCTTATATTGAGATAAGAGCCAATGATAGCTGCAAAATCCTATGATAGGTACATGATGAACATTTTCTTTTTTTACTTAAATGCCTGTTGAATGACTTAGTCTCATCCTTTGGGACCACACAGAATGGGTCTCTCCTCAGCTGGACTGTAGGCTTATGCCAGAAGAGTGATAAGAGAGAAGTCTATAGAGGCAGAGCCTAGTGGGAGGAGATCTGAAGGGCAAAGCTAAGGAGTCAGGACTGTGTCTGGAAGGCCAAGTGGGTTCTTCCAGATCCTTAGGCACATCAGTGCAGCAATTTAGGAAGATAAGTATGATACCTGTGTGCAGAAAGGATTTGATGGAGAGATTCTGGCCACTGGATGCTAGTTAAGAAACATTGGCAACACTAGAGTTATGACGTAGAAAAGGTCTGGCCTCAAGATGTCCATCAACAGATGAATGGATAAAGAAGATGTGGTATATATATGCAATGGAATATTATGCAGCCATCAAAAAAACCCAAAATCTTGTCATTTGCAACGAAGTGGATGGAACTAGACGGTATTATGCTAAATGAAATCAGTTAATCAGAGAAAGACAAGTGTCATATGATCTCACTGACATGAGGAATTTGAGACACAAGACAGAGGATCATAGGGGAAGGGAGGGAAAAATGAAACAAGATGAAACCAGAGAGGGAGACAAACCATAAGAGACTCTTAATCTCAGGAAACAAACTGAGGGTTGCTGGAGTGGAGGGAGGTGGGAGGGATGAGGTAGCTGGGTGATGGACATTGGGGAGGGTATGTGCT